TTAGTGCTGTGGCAGGATATTCATAGGAACATGGAGTGATTGAAAAGACTGGGATAATTTAGTGTGAAAGGTGAATCAGAAGGATTTGATTGAGGTGAGAAGATTATAAAGGGCTTAGTAAGAACTGCTTAGTATCTTCCTTTTAACCCTATCTTAAAATAGAAAACTAAGAGGACAAGATGAAATTAAAGCACATGACATTTTAACAAATATAGGGATTCTTCCCCACCCCCCAGAGTATAATCATGTGGTGGCATTTACTGCTGCAAGAGGTCATTGAGACAAATAAGTCTGTGGTTGGCTTTAAAATCTCTGCTCCAGCCCTTCCTCCCCCCGAATAGCACTGAACAAATTAGTTAGGTGGAATTATAGCATTTTCATTATCTTCTGAAGAATTCTATATTGGCTGCTAGCTGGGAAGAAAACACTGGCCTAGACAGAACTACAATTTGTCTGATCCAGTGCAGAAACTTTTATGATCTTATGTTTTGTTCTAAAAGAGGCTAATTTCATCTGCTGGAACCAAGATATCTGCTGGAATTGAACCTGGTTATTGAGGTTCATGTCCCAAGAAGCACCAGTTAACTGTCCCCTTGTTTCTCTTAGGTAGTTTGTAGAACATCTTTGAGTAGGTCAAATATAGCTTAAGAAACAAGGATCACTAATATGAGCAAGGTAAGGTATAAAGTATAAGAAAGAAGTTAAATCAAGGGCAAGATTTTTTAGAAACTGGATTCTCTTTCTGGACCTGCAATTATTTATTGCTTGAATGCCTAAAATGGTGCTGAATATGATTGTACTTGCCCATGCTTCCAGCTCAAAATGTGCTCAGAACAACTTCAACAGCAGCCATTGCTGACACTCAGTGCCAGTATGGTTTTCTGGTTTTGTAATCAGGCCCTAAGGAGAGGTAGTTAAAAGAAGCTTATCTATCTACAACCTCTTCTGATCTGGATTCTTGGTCAAAAGAGGATAGAGTAGGGGGTCCTCGCCCATTATGTGTCTTTCTTACAGGCCTGTGGACAATAGAGACAGAGGAAACACCTAATGACCATGGACAAGAACCGATTTTCAGTGAAAAAGGTGACAAATGTCCTTTCAGAGCAGATTTTGGGGGCTTTGCAGTGGGTCTGTTTCTTGTTAGAGGAGAAAGCGGTGAAACAGACTGGGCTAGTCTACACTGGCAATGCTAAAGTGCTGCCGCAGCAGCACTTTAATGTGCCTTGTATGGTCACGGCACAGCACTGGGAGAGAGCTCTCCTAGTGCTCTTAAAATACCACCTCCATGAGGGGCGTAGCTACCAGCGCTGGGGCACTATTTATACTGGCGCTTTACAGCGCTGCAACTTGCTGTGCTCAGGGGGGTGTTTTTTCACACCCCTGAGCAAGAAAGTTGCAGCGCTGTTAATTGCTAGTGTAGACAAGCCCTTGGGGTATTTTCTCATAATCTATTTTTATTCAGACGATGCACACAATTCATGTTTACCCTGACCAGAGATGGAAACAACAGCAAAACTACATACAAAGAATTCCACTTGCAGAAACTCCAGCTAACATTTAATTGGCTTTGTCTTTGTTGAGAGAGAGGTGTGGGTCCTTAATTTAAATTAGCTAATTTGAGGTAACATCCTAGTGAAGACAATGCAGTTTGTAGTTTTCATGAGTTAGCACAGGGGTAGGCAACCTATGGCACGCGTGCCAAAGGCGGCACGCAAGCTGATTTTCAGTGGCACTCACACTGCCCGGGTCCTGGCCACCAGTCTGGGGTGCTCTGCATTTTAATTTAATTTTAAATGAAACTTCTTAAACATTTTAAAAACCTTACTTACTTTACATACAACAATAGTTCAGTTATATATTATAGACTTATAGAAAGAGACCTTCTAAAAACGTTAAAATGTATTACTGGCACGTGAAACCTTAAATTAGAGTGAATAAATGAAGACTCGGCACACCACTTCTGAAAGGTTGCCGACCCCTGAGTTAGCAGGTTGAGTCAAAGCCAATGATCCCCCATTAGCTTGATGTCAACCTACTAATCTGTGTGAAAATTACAAACTGCCTTGCCTTCACTAGGATTTTACCTTGAGTTAGTTAATTCATTAGCTAAATTGAGTTAAGAACACAACTTTTTTTCTTATACAGTGTAGACAAGGCCACTGTAACAAGAAAAGCTGCTCCTAATCTGATCCTTGGTTTCTGCCCTGCAATCAGCCCATTGGCTGTTCCGCTATACTCTTGCCTGAGGACATCCCTGTTTCAGAGTCACATGGGTTTTATTAGTCTCAATAGGAAGCACAGACTAGGTCAGATGCACTTGGGCATCAGCCCTCCTTTTCTGTTGCAGAGCAGATGCATAAAGGAACTTCTCAAAAGGAGTCTGCTATAACCAGTGTCGAGTCTAAGGCCTGGTCTACACGTGGGGGGGGGGGCGGGGGGGCAGGTTGATGTAAGAAACGCAACTTAAGCTACGGGAATAGCATAGCTGAAGTCGATGTATCTTATTTCGACTTACCTCGGGTCCTCACAGCGCGGAATCGACAGCCGCAGCACCCCCGTCGACTCCGCTACCGCCGCTCGCCCTGGTAGCGTTCCGGAATTGATGGGAGCGTATTCGGGGATCGATATATCACATCTAGACGAGACGCGATATATCGATCCCCAATAGATCGATTACTATCCGCCGATTCGGCGAGTAGTCTGGACGTACCCTAAGGGGCTGTTCAGTTGTGGTGTAGACATTTGGGCTCTGGAAACCTCCCACCTCACAGATTAATTTACTACTTACACTGCCAGAGTGGTATAAAGAAGCTTTAGTGAAAATGAGAATCTAGCCCTTAATGTGGACAGACTGCTAGCTGCCAATGGCATTTTAAGGACCAAGTTGGTCAGACCTATTCTGAGCAGGATTAGATGACACAGTACTGGCAGCTGCTTATCTGTCTAATCTTAGGTTTTGTATGTATCTGAGAACCTCACAATCTTTAATATATTTACCTTCACCACACTCCTGTGAAAGGGATCTGGGGGTCACAGTGGCTCACAAACTAAATATGAGTCAACAATGTAACACTGTTGCAAAAAAAGCAAACATTTTGGAATGTATTAGCAGGAGTGTTGTAAGCAATCCACAAGAATGAATTATTCTTCTCTACTCTGCTCTGATTAGGCCTCAACTGGAGTACTGTGTCCAGTTCTGGAAAGATGTGGGCAAACTGGAGAAAGTTGAGAGAAGAGCAACAAAAATTATTAAAGGTCTAGAAAACATGACCTATGAGGAAAGATTGAAAAAATTGGGTTTGTTTAGTCTGGAGAAGAGAAGACTGAAGGGGGACATGATAACAGTTTTCTAGTACATAAAGGGTTGTTAAAAAATGTTCTCATTAACCGCTGAGAATAGGACAAAAAGCAATGGGCTTAAATTGCAGCCTGGGCTATTTAGGTTGGACATTAGGAAAAACTTCCTGTCAAGGTTGTTAAAAACACTGGAATAAATTGCCTAGGGAGGTTGCAGAATCTCTGTTATTGGAGATTAGACAAACACCTGTCAGGGGTGGTCTAATACTTAGTCCTGCCTTGTGTGCAGGAGACTGGACTAGAAGAGCTCTTGAGGTCCTTTCCAGTACTATGATTCTATGATTGTGGAACATTTTTGCAAAATTTTGCTAGTGTAGGAAAGGCTTAAGCTTACCCCTTTTTATGAAGAGTTTATCACACAAAAATATACAATACATAAAAATATTTATATAAAAATTCAACCAGATGTGTTTAATTACTACCATTGCCATTACAACAAAGATTATTAAAAAGATTTAAAGCATGTTTTAATTCATCAAATAAAAAAGGTAAAAAAAAAGGGCACATTTTAACTTAGTTAATTTAAGCTTTTGGATGAGTTAAAACAGTTAAAATATACACAGATGTCCTCATTAATACAAATTTGAAATAAGATAAGAATTCCTTAGGTTCTACAAAAGGAGAATGAAGGCAGAAAAATGACAAACTGATATATGAAAAGCAATATATGAGATGTGACTGATAAATTATCTTCTGATATTTTAATGAGTTTCAGTTAAAGAAGTTGGCAATATGATGATTTATTGAGATTTTAATAAAATAAATTGAAAACTGAAAGGTGATCTGAATGAAAGAATCCTTATGAAGAGTTTGAACATTTTAGAGGAACACTAACATATATATATATGAAAAGCCTACAGAGGTACAATAGCATCTCTCTGTTCATCTTAACTTTGATCACAATTCTTAAGACTTCCCCCATTCGGGGGAAGGGGAGAAGAGCTCCTGATACATACTTGTAATTCCAGATATAATTTCAGAGTCCCTTCTTCCAACCCCATGGATTAAATATTTAAAAGCTAGACTCAGTAAATGCACACACAAACCTTTGCACATGCATTTTTAAGTACTAACACTTACAGGCAAAGGTAATAGAATTTACATGCACAAATCTATTTAAACAAATTGGATCTTCATGATTAAGACCCACTTTGCATTTGCCATATAGCTAAATGGTTCAATCCTGGATATTTTCCAAGAGTAACAATGTTGGACTCTAATGTTGTGTTGTCTGCAATAAAAGAGGAAACAATTTTCTTTCCTGCATCTTAAGATAGCGACTTTAGAGAAAATGAGAGAGTTATTACCATAGCAGTGTAGGCATTTGTAGAGAAAATACAATTGCAGCAGTATTTGTTTGGACTAGTTGAGTGTAACTGAGACATATCTTTAGAGACAAAGAAACAGCATCATATTGTTCAATATCTGAAAATTACTCTGATTTGATCAGCTCCAAAAGGTAAACAAGACTGGGTTCATTATTGTTATAATCATAGTGGTATTTCATATTATAAGAAAGCACACAACAGAAAATTGATATCCATGTGGTACTGGGGACTCTCTGTTGCTCAGCATAAATTAGGTATAGCATCATGCAAGAGAATGTCTGAACAGTCTTCTACTCTTTTGTTGTCCTTCTACAGTGATGGAGAGGTGCTCTCAGGTTAAAAAGATATGTCCAATTTAACTGCTGCCGAAGAGGGTCACTAAGTAGTTGGTCTATGATTCCAGAGTCTTGAAGGAGGATTCTGCTTCCTTTCCCCTACAAAATGGTTTGGAAGACAATCCTGTTTTTCTTCAATGACAGGGATACAGTGACTGAGGTATGGATGAACTGAAATACATCTTTTGTGGGAGGGGGAAAGGATTAGAAACCATCAACATGCTGTGGTGTACTGAACAGTATGCCACATTTTCCAAGTGAAAAGAGGAAATCTTTAAAGTTGGGATTTGCTTAGTATGTGCCCCAGTACCTATGTTTGGCTCAGCATCCACAAATTCTTGCTTCTCAGGACCTTTTTAAAAAACAAACAAACAGTTCCTCTATGTGAACTGAGTTTGCATTGATTAGTGAAAAATCTTTAATGAAAGCAAACTTGACATCATTTCCATTGATAATAAACCTATTAAAAAGAAGCAATGTTCTGAGAATAATGATTGAGAGTGTTTATCAAGAAAGTGCACATGTACTGAATTTAGAATAAGGCTTCCAAGAGATTAGTAATTTGGTGCTTAATGCCAAATTGGTGCAACATTGCAAGCTATTTACGTATGGGCATAACCACTTCTTTGTACATAATAATGTGGAAATGTTTCCTTGTGAATGAATAGCAAAATACAATGATCTCCCAGAGTCATTAAAATTTCTAATTGCCAAGGAGCTATCTGTTATCAACAAAATAATTTATGCCAAACATCACAAATAATAGCCTTACACAAAATTTGCTTTGACCATTCCACGCTTCTGATCTGATCCAAACACAGTTGAAGTCAGTAGGAGCCTTTCTATTGCCTTCTGAAGGCTTTGGATCAGTCCTTACACACTTAAATTCCTTCAGAATACTTGGATGAATATCATTTAGTGACTTGCTGCTGTTTAGTTTATCATTTTGTTGCGTCACCTCCTGGATACTTCAGTCTCAGACAGTCCCTCATCCTAATGAACTGAAAAGAATAGGTTTGTGATAAATACTCCCAACATTCTCTGTGGTGAAAACTAGCAGTGTTGCCAGCTCTTGTGTTTTAAGTGCAAGTCTCAAGATATTCGCTCTTAAACTCCAAGTTGCTGGAATTAGTAAATACATGAGAATCTCAGCTTATGTTTTTTGATTTTAATGAAAATATGTAGAACTCATTGTTAGAGAAAAGTGTGAAAATATAACCCGAGTGTACCATAAAGGCTTAAATACCAGAAGGCAAATAAAAAGACCCAAATGTATTTATGTTTTTTTTTAAAATCTCATTATTTTTTAAACCAATCTTGATTCTTTGCGGAATGACTCACAATTTGTTTACTGTCTGGGGTAGTAGAAGAGCTCTGTGTAAGCTCAAAAGCTTGTCTCTCTCACCAACAGAAGTTGGGCCAATAAAAGATATTACCTCACCCGCTGTGTCTCCCTAATATCCTGGGACCAACATGGCTACACCTACACTGCATATACCTTTATATGAATACAGATAGATTAATATTCACATGGAATGCATTAGCAGAAAGGTTGTGTGTGTATGCATTGATTTAGAGTTAGATGGTATTTAACATGAAAGGAGGCAAAATAGAATTGTGATCAATGGGCTAAATCTTGAGGAGGTCCTTTATTCAGTTTTTAGGGGAACTCCTACAGTTTAGGGGAAGAGTTTCAGTCCCTCAGGAACCACACATGGAGTGTCCTTTCTCTGCACTTGAGTGGCAGAAAATAAGGAAGAACTGAGAGGAGATAGCAGTTGCCTCTACAAAACCATGTCCCCACATGCCCTAAACTCAGTGGAGGACCCTCCACTTGTATAAGAAGGTAAAGGAGCTGAGTCTAGCAGTGACAAGGTCAGTGAGACTCCCCCCATGACCAGCATTAAATCTGCAGATAAGTATCAGGGTGTCAGTTATTTTTCTATTCTCTTCCATGTGGGATGGGGGGAAGAGTCATGCTGTCAGATTGCCAGGGTCTGAAAGGGGAATGGGCAGGAGTCTTGGAGTTGTGCTCAGAGGCACAAGGTCTCTGCACAGACAGTTCTGTGTCTCTGCCATATTCAATACTGTGTATCATTGAACCTTTTCTCATTCTGCAGTGAGAAGAAACATTCCTGGCCTGCCCCCTCCCAGCTTCATAATCCAGGAGGAAACATCTGTATAGAGCCTCAGAATCCCCTCCCTCCACCCCACTACAATCCCAGGTCTCTTCCCATTTTTTTCTCATGGGGGTGAGGGCAATCTCGCCTGTGTTAGGACTTTAGACTTTGGCCCACAGTAAACTGTTGAGAATTAGACATGAATCAGGCTTGCATATTGGCACTAGAGTTTTATTTTATGCTCTGTATTTCAGCACTGGGTGTTACATATTTTCAGCCAAAGAATTTACTGGATGCAAGACATTGTAGGAAGATACTAAGGGAAAGTAATCTCTACCTTTCCATCACAAGGATGCTAAAAGAGCAGTGGACATTTATAATAATGTGCTAGCTACTGTGTTAACTCCATTCATGCCCTAGTTTGATTTTGTTCTACACAATGTAAACAGTGCTGGTGTAGGCCCATGCATTTGGGGCAAGACAATCTAAACCTACAGGAAGCTTTTCATTTTTGGTATAACTGGATGCAAATGCTGTATTGGAGGCCATAGAGGCAGATTTGAGATGGTATGGTCTCACTGGTACAGCAGTGGTTTCAGGCATCCCAGCCAATGACAGGAGAATTCTAGGCTCATATGTGGTGTGTCCCCCCAGATTGGTTTTGGCACTAATGCATGTAGCTATAGTCTGTCTTTTCAAGAAACTTTTCAGAAGGATGGCCTGGACTACCATGTACAGGAGATACACGGCTGTGTGTTTTTGTTGTAAGGGGATATGCAGTGTCTGATTAATTTAATTTACTGACCAGAGATTGGCTAAAATTGAACCGCTGCATAAATGAGATTATGCAGATTGGTTCAGGCAGGAGATGTGAAGAAAGTGTCATTTCCCTAGGCCTTCTGAATTGTAATGAGGAGCTGCTTCTCCGGACCAGCATAGTGTGATCATTGACCTAGGGCTGAGTTGAGGACATCTGGAGTCAACTATGGTAAGGGCTGTTACTTTATGATGTTAAGAATGCCCCCCAGACTGTAGTATTCCCTGGTGGTAATCATGATCCATATCTTTGTGAATTGGTGGTAGGATTACTGTAATGTGATATATACTGGTCAACCTTAGTAAGAGATCTGCTGCCCGCAGCTGGTTCAGAATACAGCAGTCTGATTGTTGCAGGGGGAGATTAGCAGAGGTCAGTCTGACTGCTCACTGTCTTGCTATCTAGCTCAGTTGCCTGTTAGCCCAAGTATCAAGGTTAAAGTTTTTAATTTTAATATTTAAAGCTCCAAATGGATTCTATCCCAAGTGTCTTTCTGAACTTCTGATGCCCTGTATTCCATCCCAGCCTCAAAGGTTGGAGGGAAAGATAGCTTTTTGACCTGAGGGCTTTTAGTGATGGACTAAGCAGAGGTTGGTACTTTTGCCTGTGGAGCTCTAGGTCTGCGGGAATGCCTTCCTTCCAGAGTTGAGAACAATCATACATTTGGTATTTCTAAGAGGTTTATACACCAGCATTCAAAAATGTGAGAACCCCTGCACTGTAATTGTTTTAACTGTTTCTGGATATGCTCTGATTGAAGTGTGCACCTGTGTGTTGCACACAACAGGCGAGTCTCATCTTATGCGGGGGTTCCGTTCCGCGGTTAGCGCGTAAAGCGAAAACCGCGTATAGTCAAAATTACATTGAGTTGAATGGCAGGCGGAATCGCCCGCACTACAAGTACAATATTAACATTGTTATTTTTCTCTTTTTTTTTTTGTTCTTTCTGTTTTTGCCGACCGCGTAAAGCTGAAATCGCGCATGTTAAATGCGCATAAGATGCGACAGACCTGTAGCTGATTGTGTGAACCCTGTTGGTGCTCACTAAAAGTTCTCTAGTGTGCATTTACTTAGTCCTGTTTTACAGACAGTTAGTGCATGACACAATGGGACCAACTAGAATTTACACCCCCATTGGTGCGCAGTTATGCAGCATGTAGACAAGCCCTTAGTTCAGGCAGAACACCCATTACATTCAGTAGGAATTTTATGGGCTCCAGAATCAGTCATTTAGTTCATACTGTCTATTTTGATCTACCCATCAACAGGATTCATACTGTAAAAGCTACAATATTTATTCAGGCATTCTGCATTTTTAACATCAAAAGCATGGGATAGAATTTAATACACACAGATTATGTGGATATATTCTTGTCATCCATAAAGTTCTACAAACAAGCAAATAAAGGAAGTAAAGAACACTACACTTAAAATGAATTGTGTTAATTTTGGCAAACACTCGGTTGCTGAGTTCATTGCAGTAGCATTTGCAAAAATGATACTAGATTTTCAGTCCTATGAGCTTTATATTAAAAGTAAATTATCACCATTAAGCAACAAAGGAATTGCCACTAAGCATAATTTTGAAACAACAGCTACAATAAGTTACTTTGATAGCTCAGATAACATGTTATCTAAAGTAAAACTAAATAGCTAAAGAATTCCTCAGTGTGACTGCTAGTGTTGCAAATACTATATTTCTATTTTATAAACTGGTGGCTTATCAGCTTTGAAGGCATGTTGGAGAGTGTTAGAGTATATTCTATCACTTAGATCAGCTTTAGGCAATTATATATGTAAACATAATGACATTCTTACTCTTTTTTAAATGGATTGATCTCAAGTCTGTGATGAATGAATGTGTTTTCCTGAAATATTGTTTGAATTGAATTAATCCAATATTAATTTATTTTACATGTGCCAGAAGCATCATCCTATTATTAATAAGTTGAAACAGACAGCAGGAAAAGGAGGTCCCTCCCTAGCATTGCCAGAGTGCATCTCTGTGTGTATCCAGAAATCTGTGTGATATGTTGACAGAATGAGGCCAGGGATGCAAATAAAGGAAACTTTTCCCCCACTCCTAGCAGTAAATATATTTATTTATATATGAAGTTAGAAAACACAGTTTATTGCTTGTCATTCATTAATGTACTGAATGGTAGTTCTACTGATAAATTAAATTGAGAGAGAAATGGTTTACATATTATTATTAACATTGCTACCATATGTTTAATTCATACATTAACAGATACTGTATTTGTATTTTAGAAAGTACAGTCATTCTAGCTGGCTTATCAACCACCAAAGACTGAAAGAATATTTTTTGCACACACTGATGTATCAGTGATTGTAACATAGCTCTTCATTCTCAACATTCCATAAAATCTCTGCCAGAGCTATAATAAATATTTGGGGGAACATCCACTGAAGATGGATGTTATGGCTGGAAATGGAAACTATGCCAATTTCAGCAGCTGAAGTTCTGTCTCTATGTAAATTTGCTAAATATATATATATATTTCAATTGAAGATTAATTGGGTTTTCTACTTTTTTAAAAAATAGCAACCCAATCACTTGGTTTGATATGTCTGTTAGGGAAGGGTATTTTGGTTTTAATTGTTCTCAGGTTTGCATGTCTGGTCTCCTGAAACAGTAATGGAACATAGCTATAAAACAGTTTAGTTGTGAAAGCCACAGAAAAGGGAATTGGTTCTGTTTTTACTTCTCTCAGTCCAGGGAGATGCAATTTAAGGTCAAAACTATTTATTCCATGAATTAGTAAAGTCAGGATTCATTCAAAATTTAAAAACACAGAGAAGAATCTACAAAAAGAGAGGGAAATCAAAGACGGCTTATGAGTGATAGTGAAGATGGGCTTATGTAAAATAAACACCTTGGGCTTTAGTGTTAAACCTGGGTAATGCATTCCTCTTCCTTATGATCATAATATACAGGTAATCAAGAGAGGGGTTCATAAAAACTAGAACATGTGGGACTGAGACAATACCCAGTTCTTATTTGTTTAAAGAAAGACTAATGCACTAAGGGCCTTATCAAGGTAAGATGTGCCTCTGCAGTTGCTGGCCCATTGAAACTAGAAGTTGCAGAAAACTGATTAGACATTCTGGGCTAGATCCTCAAAGGGGACTTAGGCAGTGCAATTCTGAGCCTGATTCCAGGTGCCCTGCTGCCTAGTGGAATCCACAAGCCTGAGTTAGATGCCCAGGCTCCCTATGCAATGGCCGGGGAGAGTTAGGCACCTGAGAATAGGATTCCCAAATACGAGCAGGCTGAGCAGACAGCCACCTAAACTAGCCAGTAGGAAAGGTTTACAGGTGTTATCTACATAATTCTCCCCCTATAATGCATGGGGAGCCTGGGTGCTTAACCCAGGGCAGCAGGGTGCCGAGGGGCGAGGCACTGCAATGTCTAAGTGCCTTTGTGAATCTAGTCGTAAGTGACTTAAGCTTGGATTTGCCAGTTAGACTCCTATCACTATCTGAAAAGGCAGGTAATTGTTATATAGGCCATTGATGGATGAGAGGAAGTATCACAAGTTAAGAGCCTGTAGCAATGAATTAGTAGGGTGTAAAGCAGTTACAGTTCACCAAAACATCGGTCTCACAGTCCAAGGGGAATCACAAATTAAATCCTTTTTATGTGTGTAATAATTACTCCAATGGAAGGAAAATGTCCTAGCAGAGAATAAAATAAAAACTTGCTGCCTCATCCAGCATCATATGTAGGTGCATTTCCAGCCATGAAATGATGGGGGGGGGGGGGGGGGGGGAAGTTGGCCAACTCCAAGAACCCTGCAACAACAAAAAAAGGCTCACCTCTGTAGATGGCAGTTGCAGAGTGGCCTGTGAGAGGACAGCCCATACCAATGAGCTCTGCCTGCTGTGTTGCTTTACAGAATAGGATGGATGGCTGTGGCCATGCTGTATAGGCTGGGAATTTTTTTTTAATGGCTACCTGCAGTCCTTTCACTGTGTTGTGGGCAGGGTAGTCACCTTTCCAGCAAACTGGGGCCCACCTGTCATTATGGGAGAGGCCTCAGGAGGCTTCCTCCAGTTATTGGTTATATGTGCAGCGAGGGACTGAACTTCTGGTCACATGACATTCCTCCCCGTGTGACCTCCTGAATAGAGCTACACAGGCAGAAACTCCTTTCAGGCTCTTCTGTACCTGATTGACATTCAATCCCTCATTAATTCCTCCACAGAGCCTGATTGCTATAGCTGGTAATTGGGCTAGGTGGGGTCACAGAGAGAGCCTCTCAGAAAAGTACGGATACAGAGAGCTAGTTCCACAAAGGGAGTTATGCACCTAACTGCCACGTTAGGCACCTAAATCCAAAACTTAGATCCTCAAAACTCCCCACTGAGCTGCCTAAATTCCTTAGGCTCCTAAATTTTCACCCATAGAGTTCTCCAGGCACCTACACATCACCAGTGGACATGCAGACAGATAGCTGTGTCCTCATGCCCAATGTCCAGGTCAAACCTAAGCCCTGTCAGCGAGGCTGTCCCTAGCTATTTTGGTGCCCTACGCAGGCCCCCCTAGGCCTCTGCGGGGAGGAGCGGGGGGAGGGGGGACTGGCCCCAGGTCTCCATGGGTGGCGGCGGGGGACAGGAGCTGGCCACTTCCTGCAGGAAGTGGAGTGACCAGGTCCCAGCCTGCTCTGCTCCCCTGACTCCCAGGATTGGGGGGAGGGAGGAACCGCCCCCCAGCACTCAACAGTGGCGCAGCTGGGAGCCAGGGGAGTGAAGCAGGCCCGACTGCTTCTGGAGTCCTCATAGGAGTGGAGGCGGAGCTGGGGTGGGAAGAGGTGGAGCAGGGGCCTACACAGCTGCGTACTTTGCATATGGGTATGGACGGCCCTGCCTGTCAGGGTTCACAACTAGGAGTTTTCCCTGCCTAGCTCACCTGTGGGGCCCAATCCAATTGATGGGCTCTGAGTTAGATGCTTAACTCCCATTGATCTGGGCCTTAGGCCCCCAGACTGATGGGTGCTGCATCCTTCTGTTTGGGATGCTCAGCCATGAATCATCTTGTGGAGTTAGGCACCAAAGCCAACTGACCTTGCTCGTGAGACACACCCCAATAGTCTTTTGGTTAGTGCACTCAGTCTGATGTAGGAGCCCTGTTTTCAGCTCCCTCTCATTTGGAACAGAGACATCAATCCAGGTCTCCCACAGCCCAGTTGAGTGCCCTAACCACCAGAGTATTTGGGGTGGGCAATAGTCATTAGGCTATAGAGAAACAATGTGTGATGCTATAGCCCTGCCATTAGGGCACTATAGAATCAGAACCCCACTTGTAAACTTGGAGTTTGGGAATCTCCACCAGGGCTAGGACTCTGAACAGCTCATCAGATGTGAGTCCTACTGGCAGAAACGTAGCACCTAGGGCTAGCTCCACAAAGGCAATTAGGATATGGCTACACTGTGATTAAACACCTGAGGCTGACCTGTATCAGCTATCTCGGGCTATTTAATTGCAGCATCTAGGTTTGGACTTGGGCTGAAGCCCGGGCTGTGGGACCTTCTTGCAGTTTTACAGCCCGAGCCCTGTGTCAGCGGATGCAGGCCAGGTACACTTACTAAGTCCAACATTTAAGTGCCACTGGCGGTCATAAAACCACCACTCAGCTGCTGCCTAAGTTTCTGCCACTACATATGCACAAAGCCACCTAAGGCCTTGGCTACACTTGTGAGTTGCAGCGCTGTAAAGCCGCCCCCAGCGCTGTAACTCACTCCCTGTCCATACTGGCAAGGCATTTGCAGCGCTGTATCTCCGTGGT